TGGCGGGGGGGGGGGGGGGGGGAAGCACTGCAACACTGCAGGGAAAGAAGCAGCACTCATGAAAGCTAATCTATAGCACAGAATACAACCACTTGCTTGTATTGAGTCATGCCCAAGACAACACCAGTGAGGCTAACGCATGCCAGGGATAAATTTACCCACCTCCATTCCCCTCCAACTCCTTCACATCCCCCCAGATACCCTGACACCCTGGTCACTCAGTCACTGTTCCTAACACCACAGACAAATTCCCAGCCGTCTTAGGAAGTCTGCAAGGGCTGCTGCCCCAGTGTATTTAGGGCTGTAAATGCTGCTACTTTCGGACTATTTCTAATCCCACAGTCTGTCTTCCATGCTCACTCCTGCCAGATCTTACTGGTCCCAGTGGGATGAAAGATTATGGAAACTCGAAGCCGTAGCCACACTCACTTCTTTCACAGATGGGAATGGGAGGATCCCAGCTACCATCGTTCTGGCACCGAGGCTCAGAGCTCCCACGCAAGGTGTAACCAGGCTTGCATTGCAACACAGCAACATCTCCAGGGCCGTAGGAGCCCAGTGCCCCATTCAGTCTGCCATTCTCCAGTTCTGGGCTCACGCATGTCACTGAAAGGGGAAGCATAACAACCCCTTAAGACTCCAAAACACAAATGGGACAGAATGGACCTTTTACCCACAGAGCCATGTCCATTTATGAGTCTTTTCCTTCAACCTCATGTATCACTTCCTCTAGTCACCTTTATCCATTCCTTCAACATGAACATTACCCCTCTGCATTCACAGAACCATTCACTACTGGTACAAGTGGATGCGATGCTCCTGAAAATACAGAAGTTCCTTCTGGCGGCCGTGGCTTTTGCTTGTGCATCTCACTGATGGCTTAGACTCAAACTGTGAAATCTACTGAATTGTTGGCTCGTCCCAGAGTTCTCTTGGACTCTTTTAAATCCTCATGTGTGTCTGACACACTGAGCAAAGCAAAGGAAAGTAGGAAAGAAAACCAAAATGCATCTTTACATTGAAGAAGGAAGTGGCTCCAAGCTCCAAACATTGTACAATGAAGTTTTGCCTTCCCAAGAAGAGAGTAGCCAGGATCACAATGGTAATTTATATACATCCACCAGCCAGGAAAAAAAAAAAACAGGCTCCTTTTGGCAACTGAAATTAGACAATTTAGGCTTACTGGTGCATTATACTGCCAGTACTAACAGGTCATTACCCCATACATTCTCATGCTTATGCCATTGTCAAAAAGAGCTTTATGGCAAGAAAAAGGGTTAAGGGGGAAAAATGGGGATGATTCTCTTCAGGAACTAAAGGAGCATACTCT